TTCCAAAGGTGAATTCCTCAGATTCTGAAAGGTTACATAGCTCATCACTTTTGCCCAAGAACAGAAACATTTGGTTGAACAAAACCATGAACCTGGGGACATTTAGGCACGTGGGGGGAAGTCCTGGTGCCAGGAACACAGCAGAGAATAGAATATGAGGACAAAGAGAGCTAGTCAACTGAAGAAACATTGAGTATCACTGAGGGATAATAAGCACTTTCTTTTCGTTTGAATTCTTGTAATGCCATCACCTTGTTTTTATTTAGATCTAGTTTTACTTTTAATTAGGTGTGTGTGTGTGTGTGTGTGTGTGTGTGTGTGTGTGTGATTATTGTTCACATGCATGCAGGTGTTCCCACAGAGTCCAGAAGAGGACATCAGATCTGCTGTGGAGGATCTCGAGTTACTGGAAGTTGTGGGCTTCCCTGTATGGGAGTTGGGAACTGAATTCATGTATCCTGCAAAAACAGTGTGTATTTTTCACTGCTAAGCTCTCTATCCATCGCCTCTTTTATTTTTAAAATCATAATGATAAGGAGGATGTGAGGGAGGTAATGATGGATAGATATGATCGAAACACATTGCATAAATGTCTGAGGTTTTCAAAGAATAAATTTAAAAGGTCATTAAATATATTTGTCTTTAAAATTTGATAAAGCATGAAGAGAAATTAGGAAAAAAAATTGTTTTCCTATATACTTTCTTTAAAGAAGCTCTTGTCATTGTATATACATTATTATTATTATTAATTATACTAATATACATGTTAAGGAACTGGGGAGGTAGCTCAGTTGATAAAGTTCCTGCCACATGATCATGAGGACCTGAGTTCAGGTCGCCAGCACCCACAACAAAGCTGAGTGTGATGGGGTGTCTGTAAGTCTAGCACTGGGAGAACAGAGGAGACGGTGACAAGTGGCTCGTGGAGCTTGCTGGCCAGCCAGTCTAGCCAATCCTTGAGCTCCAGGCTCAGCGAGAAACCCTATGTTAAAAGATAAAATGGGAAACAAGAGAGGAAGACACCCTAATCCAAGCTCTGGAGTTCACACACATGTACACACCCACACACATACTGGCATGTGTACATGCACTCACACATATAGTACACACACATACACACAAAATTACCTTAAAAGCAAAAAGGGGGGATATCTGCTTTCAAGATGCATGTGTGTATACAAATATACAGTTCATGTGTTTGTTTTACTTTCTCCATATCTGCGCTTCCATTTCTTCACATATATACATATATGTACACACACACACACATTGAAACAGGGTTTCACTACGTAGGCCTAGTTGACCTGGAACTCTTTATGTAGACAAGCCTCAGCCTCACAGAGATTTTCTGCCTCTGGAGTACTGTGATTAAAGGTGTGTGCCATTATACCCAGATTCCTTTTCATTTTTTTATACTCAGATCAGATATTGGGAATCTGAGAGATATCAACTGATAGCAATCCTCTTCTCCAGGCTCTGAATTATTGTAAAAATCAGACTCTTTAATAAAGCAGTTAAGGGATGGAGCTAAAAGGACTAGTTGGAGGCTATTTAAATCCCTGCCAAACTTTCTTCCTAATCTTAAGAATTCCTGAAACAAAATTACAAAGGAGTGATGCATGCCTGTAATGCCAGTACTCAGGAGGCTGAGACAGAAAGAACAGGATTTCAAGGCCATCTTAAGCTACAAAATTGATTCAAGGCCACCCTGGACCACAAGAGACTGTCTCAAAACAACAATAATCCTGAAATGAGACAGGTATCATTACATGCTTGGGCAATACAAAAGATATTTAGGAGTCTGTATAATATGGCACCTTCCAATCTAAATGCTTCTGAAATGTACTCAGCAAATACAGCCTGATAGTTTTATTAGGAAGCAGCACCAGGAAACCTGGTGGGAAGAGGCAGAGCAAGCTTGCTCCCAGAGAAAGGAGAACTTATGCTCAGATGCTTCACCCAGCTCCCAGTCATTTCACCTCTTTTTTATTTTTTTAAATTTGTTTTTATATTAATTACATTTTATTCGATTTGTATCCCAGCTGTAGCCCCCTTCCTCATTCTCTCCTAATCCCATCCTCCCTCCCTCATCTCCTCCCTGCCCCTCTCCAAGTCCACTGATAAGAGAGGTCCTCCTCCCCTTCCTTCTGATCCTAGCCTATCAGGTCTCATCAGGAGTGGCTGCATTGTCTTCCCCTGTGGCCTGGCAAGGCTGCTCCCCCCCTCAGGGGGAGGTAGTCAAAGAACCAGCCACTGAGTTCATGTCAGAGACAGTCCCTGTTCCCATTACTAGGGTACCCACTTGGACACTGAGCTTCCATGGGCTACATCTGAGCAGGGGTTCTAGGTTATATCAATGAATGGTCCTTGGTTGGAGTATCGGTCTCAGAAAAGACCCATGTGCCCAGATATTTTAGTACTGTTGCTCTCCTTGTGGAACTGTCATCCTCTTCAGGTCTTACTATCTCTCCCTTCTTTCATAAGATTCCCTGCACTCTGCCCAAAATTTGGTTATGAGTCTCAACATCTGCTTTGACACACTGCTGGGTAGACTCTTTCAGATGCCCTCTGTGGTAGGATACTGTCCTATTTCCTATGTCTCTTTCTTCTAATGTCCATCCTGTTTGTCTTTCTGAGTGAGGATTGATCGTCTTACCCAGGGTCCTCCTTCTTGCTTGGTTTCTTTACGTTTACAGATTTGTGTAAGTTTATCCTATCTTATAGGTCTAGTATCCACTTATAAATGAGTATATACCACGTGTGTCTTTCTGTTTCTGGGATACCTCACTCAGGATGATCTTTTCTAGATCCCACCATTTGCCTGCAAATTTCATTGATTTCCTTGTTTTTAATAGCTGAGTAGTACTCCATTGTGTAAATGTACCACAATTTCTGTATCCATTCCTCCGTTGAACAACGTCTGGGTTGTTTCCAGGTTCTGGCTATTATAAATAAGGCTACTATAAACATGGTACAGAGCAATAGTAATAAAAACTGCATGGTTCTGGCATAGAAACATAATGGTGGATCAATGGAATCAAATAGAAGAGCCAGAAATAAACTCACACACCTATAGGTACTTGATTTTTTACAAAGAAGCCAAAACCATACAACGGAAAAAAGACAGCATCTTCAACAAATGGTGCTGGTCTACCTGGATGTCTACATATAGAAAAATGCAAATAAATCTATATTTATCACTCTGCATAAAACTAAAGTCCAAGTGGATCAAAGATCTCAACATAAAACCAGACACACTAAACCGGTTAGAAGAAAAAGTGGGGAACAGCCTTGCACTCATTGGCACAGGAGACAACTTCCTGAACAGAACACCAACAGCACAGGCTCTAAGATCAACAATCAATAAATGGGACCTCATGAAACTGAAAACCTTCTTAAAGCAGAGGACACTGTCATCAGAACAAAACAACAGCCTGGGAAAGGATCTTCACCAATCCTATATCTGACAGAGGGCTGATATCCAGAATATATAAAGAACTTTAGAAATTAAACAGCAACAAATCAAATAATCCAATTAAAAAATGGGGTACAGCGCTTAACAGAGAATTCTCTGTAGAGGAATATAGAATGGCAGAGAAATCTCAGGGTACTTTTGATTTGCATCTCTTCAACATCCTTGGTCATCAGGGAGATGCAAATCAAAAGTACCCTGAGATTTCACTTTACACCCATCAGAATGGCTAAGATCAAAAACTCAAGTGACAACACATGCTGGAGAGGTTGTGGAGAAAGGGGAATCCTCCTCTATTGCTGGTGGGAATGTAAACTTGTACAACCACTTTGGAAATCAATCTGGCGCTTTCTCAGACAATTAGGAATAGTGCTTCCTAAAGATCCAGCTATACCACTCCTAGACATATATCCAAAATATGCTCAAGTACACAAAAAGGACATTTGTTCAATAATGTTCATTTCACCTCTTAACTGAAGGCTGGGGACAGAGTGCGGGGGGGAGCCGAGTGCCACCAGGAGTAGTAACCTAATCACAAATAATAAAGGAAAGAAGCCCTTTTAAATGAAGAGGATTCATACAGAAGAATAGGGAAATAAATGTAAAACTACTAAAACCTTCCAGGTGTGGTGAAAAGTAACTTTAATCCCGGAGAGACAAAGCAGATAGATTTCTGTGAGTGCCAGACCAGCCTGGTCTACATAGTTCCAGAACAGCCAAGGCTGCACCATGAAATCCAGTCTCAAAACAAAACGAAAACAAACAACCCACCACCAACAAGAGAAACTATTAAAAGTTTGTACTATTTATTTTTAAGAAAATTAAGGTGATATTATAATATATGTCAATGCAGGAATAGCTTAACCATATTTAGGTTACATTTTAGAGAATAGGTTTCTTTGATATTACCTAGGTCCCTGAAAGAAATTTATATGTGTACAATAGAAATACAGAAAGGTTAGGACATAAAACACATGCAATTATAACTTTGACCATGGTCACTGATAGATTACCTATTGATCAAAGAGAGTATGTTAGAAACTTTAAGCTGAGTTCAGCTGTGAAAAGATCTTTTAACTGTTCCATAAAAATGAAGGTGTGCATGGTGTCTCACACCTGTTACCCCAGCACTTGGATGGCTGAACATAAGGATCACGACAAGTTCCAGACCTGCCTGGGCTCCACAGCAAGTTCCAGACGAGGACAAGATCACATAGAAAGTCTCAAAGCAAAACAAGGGCTGGAGAGATGGTAAACACCGTCGCTGCCAAGCCTGAGGACAGGAAGCTGATCCCCTGAACCCACATCGTAGGAGAACCAGCTCCCACAAGATGTCCTCTGGTTTCCACTTACATGCCATAATGCACTCACACACGCACAAATACATAAGTAAATAAATAATGAAAAATAAAGAGAAACACTGGTCCCTTATGTCTGGGAGTGGGAGGGACTGGTTCATTTACAAGGTAGAAAATTGAAATAATGCATTATGTCAAACAAGCACTTGAGACCACATGCTGTTCCTTACTCTGTAGTTTCTCTGCTAGGAACTTTTCTCATGGAGAATGCTACCATTGCTCTGAAGAGATATTCTTCATCTGTGTCCCAGACATACTAAAAGAAAAGGAAAGAAGAAAGTATATGTGAATGGGATGGGGGGAAAATAGTCCATTTAGTGCTATGTTCCATCACCCTCCTCATTCTCTTTCTCCTCCACCTCCATATGGTCTCCTATCTGGAGCCAATCGAAACTCACATTCTTAGACATTCAATAATTCCAAGTTTCATATTTCCTGTTGCACTCTCTTTTCCAGACTCTGTAACATCACTAGCCTGTCAGCAAACTTGATATTTGGACAACTCATCCTAGTATAACATGAGAATATCATTAAGATTTAGGTTCATACTGAGATGGAAAAACATTTTCTCATTACTGCTCTCACTTTCTTCAGGTGGTGAGGAAGAAACAGTAAGTGAAAATAGATCCTAAACAACAGCAGAGAATGTATCCCTTGGTTACCTTCTCTGTACAATAAAGGTATATTCTATTTTCCTAAATACCTTCAGGACCCCAAGGCCTTCTGTCTTTGCCTCCAGCCCCATTCCTGAAGTTATAGACATCTACCACAGCACTACTTATTTATGTGTGTGTGTGTGTGGGGGGGATAGCATGGTAGTTTCTTTACTTGCTGAGCCATCTTACCGGCCTCATCAACTTAACTAGTATTATTGAAACTTTCTCCAGTCACTTTTGCTTCACCCCTTTCTCTCAGTCCTGTCTAATATTGCTGCACTAAAATGCCATCAAGAATAAAATGTAGTCTCTGTTTACGTCATGTGCAAGTGCTAAGTGTTCCTTTTGTTTGTTATGTTTTTTGAGACAGGGTTTCTCTGTGTAGTCCTGGCTGTCCTGGACTCTCTTTGTAGACTGGGCTGGCCTCGAACTCACAAAGATCCTCCTGCTTTTGCCTCCCTGAGTGCTGGGATTACAGGTGTGCACCTTCCATTAATCTTTTAAAAATATTCTTATTACATTTGTACTTTATTTACTGTGTGTGTGTGTGTGTGTGTGTGTGTGTGTGTGTGTGTGTGTGTGT